AGGTGTCACCAGGTTTGGCTTCCTCTGAGGCTTCTGTCCATGGGATGCTTAGAGAATGTTTGTTGTCAGCTCTTCTGTGTCTCTTTTTACCTTTACTTATCACATACAGAATTATATAAAAAGTGCTCAACATACATAAGTAGGCAATAGCAAGTGTTTGAATTTAAAATATTAAATGAGAGGATCCTTGGCATAAAGATTGGTATGAAGCTGCAGTGTTGGGTGGGGTTAACTCAGGAAGGCTGCTCTAATGCTATTTAAAGGCATATATATTCCTTGAGAATTAAGGAGTTCTAGGAGAATTATTGGAGACCATCTAATACTAGATTCCATGAACTAGGGGAACATGTTCTACTAGTGATTAAAGGATATTTTATATGGTATATAAACATTGAACAACCTGTACTCACTGATATGAGAATTATTTCTCTACCAACTCTTTCAATCCTTCTGATTATATCCAAAATAACTCTGAATTTGTGTTCAACTGCCTCTAAAATACTCCCAATTATCAGGAAAAACCTATTTTCATAAAGATCGGGCTCCAATGGATGAGGAAAATATTATCTTTAATTATAAAATGTTGCTTAAATATTTAAAATATTGTCTTATTTTCATTGTCTTTTTCTGCATTCCCCTTACACTGATGACATAAAGATTCTTGGTAAACTAAAATTTTAAAAGAAAGTAAATTTAAAATATGAAGGTAGTAAGCTAGTGCAAAGATAAAGCAAGCGATTATCCTAGTGGCCCATCCACAAGTGAAATTTGAGACAAAATGATTTAGCCCATCCCTCTCATAAAGAAATTGGTGAGGTTCAGGAAAAGGAAGATACTCTTCCAAGATCCCATAGCTAGCTTTCAGTTGGATCTGATCTACATGAGAGAACAATTTCTATGCTGCTAAACTGAAAATAAACTTTACATAAAATAAGCAACAGGGCATGACATGAGCTGTTAGGAAAGTACTGGTTCAAGAGGCTGATATTCGTTATAGGGGAGGCTTAGGGAGGGCAAACACCTCCACAGCTGATGTTGGAGACCAAAGCTTCTCTCCAAGACCAAAGCTTCTGACAATACCGAGGACACCTGAGCCAGCCCCTGAGATTGTAGCGGCAAAAATTTCTCATGGACTCAAGCAAAGATGGCTTGAATCCAAGCATTTCTACTTATCGAGAAATCCCAGTGTGCCTCTCGGCTCATCTGTGCTAATGATTCATCTGCAAACATGTGTAGAAATGATAATAGCTAACGTTTATGGGGCACTTATCTGCCAAAAAAAACATTGATGCACTATCTCACTTACCCCCTGAAAAATAACACCTGAAGACAGTTATTGTCAGACTTTATGATAAGTGAGGACATTTACACTCTTAATGGTTGTATCACTGTCCTGCATCTATGCAGCTAAACGAGTGATGATGTAGGAGTCAAGCTCAAGCAGTTTCAGCGTACAGCCCAGCCATCACTCTAAAAACGTCAGCACCGCTCTGCCCAGTTCACTCCGGATTCTCTTGGAACCCGGTGTCCAGAACCCCCTGGGCGTGTGGTACAAGGCATTCTTGCCTGCCATTACAATCCCCTGAGGTGGCCTGCGAAGCAGCTGGCCAATCAGGAGACACCAGCTAGAAGAGCTGGCCAATCAGAGAGCCTGACCTCTTTCTCGCACGCACTCTTTCTCTCTCCTGCTTGCTTCACTCAGCAGCCATTACTGAAGTAACCCTCAAAGTGAGAGGTGGTGTCAGGTCAGGCTTGTGGGCAAGCTGGGGCTTCGCTGTGTGTATCTGGATCCCGTTAGGACTGCTGAAGTTTCTAAACTGTCGGGGAGACTCCATCTTTGGCCTCTAGCAGGCCTTAGGGGCCAGCCTGTGGGTTTCCCGTCAGTCCCGGGCCCGGGGCCCAGAGCGCCTCTGAGGCGTGGGTCAGCCCGCAGGGACTGGGCTTTTCCGCCGTCCAGGGTCGCTCTGGACCTGGCTAATGTCGTCCCAGTTCGGCTTGGGACGGGGAAGACTGTGGACGCTTCCAGGCTACCGTGGCTGGGCGGGCTGTTGGGGCGCCAGGCCCCCCTGGTCTTTAGGGGTCCTCACAGATGGCAGTTGGGCGGGGGAAGGGGCGTTGGCTCTTAGGATGAAAACTGCCAGTAGTAGGTAGTACTCAGGTCAGGAAGTTGTGAAATTTGAGGGGGAAAATGCCAGGGGTTAGTGCTTCAGTGGCCTGGGGACCTGCGTGCGAGTGGTCACACTTCTCTCAGTTGAGTGCTGGTTAATTGGCGCCTAATTTCTGAGTAAGGATGTGGCAGACTCCCAGGAAAAGACTAGCCCCAGCCCTGCCTCCCAGGCCCATCATCAGTCGGAGCCCACTGGTTCCCTTCCCCGAGCTCTTAACTATGAGGACCATGAACTCGGATGGGCATTTCTCTACCCATTTAGTTTTACTCTTGTTTTTTTATTTTTATTTTTTAACCTTTATTCCTCACTTTGAAGTTCTTTAATTCTATAACACCCCTCTCCTCACTATAGTACGTTTTAGGAAT